GGGGGGGGGGGGGGGGGGGGGGGGGGGGGGGGGGGGGGGGGGGGGGGGGGGGGGGGGGGGGGGGGGGGGGGGGGGGCAAATGTCCGCTAGCGACTGGAAAAAGCGATAAAAGGATAGACGCTGATTATATGTGAAAAAGTAAACAAGACAGAGAGATAGCGGGCAAGCGACTTGACGCGAAAGTGGAAAATAGAAGGCTGCCTGGCCTGTGGAAGAAGGAAAGAAGCGGAGCCGGACCGTTAGGGAGTAAAGCGGAAAGAAGGAAGGGGATAAGAGGTGAAACAGCAGCCTGGAGCATTGGGCGAGGCTTTATACGTTTGACGGCCGCTTTGAGCATGCTGCAAGTGGTAGCCGTCGAGCCTTTGAAGGCAACCGTAGTAGCGAGAAGTGTCGAGTGCACAAAGCAAATAGTTAATGGCCTCTTTTGTGGAAGGTCGGTTGCAAGGAGTCGCCCAGGCTTGGCTGGAGACGCCAAGCATGTCTGTGCATAGAGTAATGCCAGCTAACGCCCTTTGAGCCTTGACGAGCAGTCTAGACTCGTCGCAAAAAAAATAGCTTCCATGCCAAGTATTCTATGCGAGAAATTTGATGAATCTTCGACGTTGCTTCGGTGGATGATTATGCGAAGCTAGCTGTGGTTCTCCATGCCACTACACCTTCTCTGGCCGTTTGACGGAGCGGACGGAAATCCCGCACGGGCCTCTGAAGAAGGCTATACTTTGTGCTTGGCAATTCCATCTCCGGAAAGACATAATGACAGTTGGACAAAAGGCGCAGCACGTCGAGGAAGGCTACCAGAATGGGAGCAGGTGGAGGTCAACACTGCACCTGTAGAGTTTTATGGGCTACAACTTTTCTCCACCAACATCCATTGTACACTCTACAAACCTTGAAACACGATTATCATAGGATGCATCATTTTGTCAGAGTCCAGAAGCCAAAACGACTCCACCGAGTCAAAGTCCCACTCTTTGCAGAACTTGTTGCGAGGAAGAATCAGCGTATGCTAACCATATCCACTCCTGACAGTTCATAAAAACCTGTATCGTCTATTTTTAGCATTCCGCTTGGACCTCTCTCGTCCCCCGCTTGGCCTTGGCTCGTCGAAACATCCGCAAGTTTGCTTGTCCGTCAGTCCTCCTCGCCACCCTTTCAGCAGCCCTCGCGTAAAATGGATTCGCATCAGATATTTAGACGAATAAGCAACGTGTTAAAAATAAATACTGCACGCTTACAAACTGCTCCAACCCCAGAACCCTGCAAGCTCGGAGCGATGCGCCGCCTTCCATAACCGGCGAGGTCATGGAGTTTTCACATTCCCAACGCCTCTTTCAGCCAAGCGTCCGGATTAATACAATGCGCTCGTGGACATTACACGTGCTCTAAAGGTACCTCCTTATCTTGCAAGTGTTGTCAATGCGCTCATAATTCTATTCAAAGTGTATATCTCGGAGCAACTTTCAATGGGTATAAGGGTGGCAGACACTGAATAACTGTAAATCCATCTTGCTGCCACTCAAGTCTCATTGACTCATTTTGTTGTCATAGAACGGCACTTCTCGCCCCAAAGTCTCACCGCAGCCCGACTCCCCTAAAGTTTAGGACCCCCAAGCATGTCTTTTTCAGAAAAGGAAATACTCGTTATCGGCAAAAGGCTTTGAGTCATACTACGCATCATTCAGGGTTAGGGGGTCCCTCCCCAAAAGTCGGCTTGGGCGCTCGCCCGGACCACAAAGTGGCGCAATCCCCTAAATCACGATAAAGGAGGGCGTCGCTTTATAAAAATAGGCGAATAGGGTGGATAAGCCACCTCTCGGTATCTGCCCAGACACAATATCGTATCCACAAGTAAAATCCTCGTTCTCGTTGCCTAGGACATTGAGCAAGTTCAACGCAACTAGCGAAATCTTTTTGGACCATGTTTTCGCCCATTCGCTTTCCATCACCCTTCCCTCCCCATTCTCCCGACCTCGTTCAGGTCGACTACGCCTCAGGAAATCCAATCGACGAGTTTTCTCTGTCGCCCAATTTCTACTTTCCACTCAACGAGCGTGCTATTTCTCCCTCGTATCATAGTGACAACCTCGCGGCGGGTTCGATTCCAGGCACATCTCTCAAAGACGACATGGCCATCTCTAAAGCAAGGATTATCTCATCCAATGCAGCAGAGGAGTACGTGCCAAGAAAGAGTAGCCACATTCAGCAACGATATAGGGATCTATCTGCCGACGGCTTGCGGTCGGGGACTACGACCGTCGTGCCTACCCGCCAATCCAGTCCAGCTCCCCCAGCAGAGTCTCCACCCCCGACGACATCTTCAGCACCCTCCAAAAAGCTAAGAGGTCGCTCTAGTGCAAAAAGAGCCGTTGGCCTTTCTCGCTTGGATACCACGGCTGCAATCCCAAAGCCTATCCTAGAGCAACCGCCATCAGCTCGTCCCATTGCTGCCTCAAAAACTACTTGCCCCGTTGGTTTGAACACTTCCAATCTACCTAGAGTAGGCGTCGAAGTCTGCACGCGATGGCTGACGGGCAAACCTCCCACTACTTCCTCCTTCCAGCGCAGGCGCGACAAGCACATTGTATCTCGACTAGACCGCGTTCTCGCGAGTGTTATCCGTGATGTCAAGGAGACCATCGACGACCTCGAAGTGGAAAAGTCCATGTGCATCATCCAGAGTTTGCACGAGGTCTCTATCGTCGAGCTCGACAACTACTGGGAGGTTATTGATCTCGAAGAGAAAGTAGACGATATGAGACAATGCATGGAAAAGATAGAAGTGATCCGTGACGATCTCTTGCAAAATAAGCGGCTGCGACCCATCGTCGACTATGATGACGAGATGGAAGACTCGGCGTGGTGGAACGACAAACTTCAGCCTTCTAGATCCGATAAGAGGAGCTACACCTGGTTGACTGCGCCTCCGCTTTTTGCGGAAAGTTATCTGTACCGGCGCTTAAAGGAGTGTTTTGCTCAGAGCATCTGGTGGAGAAACTATGACCCGTTCAAACGCAAAAAGGTCCGTCCTCGTTTCTTTCTCTCCCGACTTGCACAATTTTTCTCAATTTATTTTGATAGTCCAATGACTTGTTAAGCGCGCAAGACAAACTGTTCGAATTGGCGAGCCGCTTTGCAGAGCCTTTCCGACCAGGAGACTGTCTCTTTCCTGAAGAGTATCAGGAACTAGTCAAACTTCGTTTTATCGAACTTACGCAAGGTAAGTCACATGTACCTCGGTCTGGAACGAGGCAGCTGATCTTGTTCCGAATTCCCAGTCTGCCTCGAGGGGGACTCCTCTATCTCAATAGAGTCCAAGGACTCAACAGAGTGTGTTAGCAGTGCTTTGACCAATGCGGAAGGAGACAACCCTGAGGAGATACTTGGCGTTCTCTGGGAGGCCTTCAATGCGCCATGCTCCTCAGGTGCATACCAAGCAAACAAAAGGGTGGATATTATACTGGAAAATGCTGGGATCGAGCTCTTCGTCGATTTGCTATATGGTATGAATTTCATCTACAGCCAGGCGCGGCGGGTTCGCTAACTCCACAATTGCATATGCCTGTCACAGCCGAATTTCTCATCGACAGTGGAATTGCAGATGAGGTTCGGTTCCATGGAAAGCAGATGCCGTGGTTCGTATCGAATGCCACTCAGGACGACTGGGAGTGGTTACTGGATGCTCTGGCCAACCCAAGAGTAGGCATCTATATACTCGCTCATCTATGTGATAAAAACTGAACATATAATCAGCTATATCCCAACGCAAGTCTAGAACAAACGCATTCTCTACGTCAAATTGGGCAGAGGTGGCGAGCCTACGAGCAGTCCAAGCAATTTGTTTACGAACAACATCCTTTCTGGACGACTCCACACTCGTTCTGGGATCTGCCTACCTCCACACGCTCCTTGTTCAGTGAACTTTCGAGCTCAAATCTGACGATCTTCAAGGGTGGATTAAACTATCGCCGGTTGACCTATGACTGTACGGCGCCGCCCGAAACCTCTTTCGAGGAGAGGATTGGGCCAATGTCATTTCATCCCAAACTCCCGACGATATGCAGTCTACGCACTGTGGGGAAATATGCAATTGTCGACTTGTCACGCGGAGACAGATCAGGTCCGAATAAGGGGGTGGCGGAAGAGAAGTGACAAACATGCGGGCACGGCGAGTTTCCGATCCCCAGATAATGTCTCGTCTTGGCTCTACCCCAAGTGCGACGTTTTGGCCCTGGGTGGCGGCGCTGTCTGGACTATGGCATAGGTGGCAGAATGGACATTAGACATCTCAATTAGACCAGTACATTACTGATAGACTATTGACAAATACATTAGACTCTCGCAGTTTTCATCCACTCTCTTGGATTGTGCTTGTTCTTCTTGGATTATCGATCGAACGGAGGGCGCGGGACCTGCAAACACCAATGCTGCACCTGACTCCTAAACACGTTGTCTTTGCCTTATTCATGCCAATTAGAGCGCAATCAGTGGGCCCAGAGGCTTGATTAGGCCCAATGCTATTCACAGGGGGTCGAATGAATTGGTTCAGAATAATTCAGAAACAGTTTGTAACTGTACGAGGGGTCGGCTTGCGCGCGCAAAGACCGACTTCAGGAGCAGGTTCGCGAGAAAACTTGTGTGATGTGACAAATGGGCCACATCTAGAGCAGGAGCACATACGAGTCAGCCAAACTGAACTGCATTTGAATTGTGGGCCCATTACATAAACGTCTGTTTTTAGCACGAGAAAGTCGTTCACGAGCTTTTAAAAGAGATAGGGCTTTGGGTTAATATGAAACAAACATCTCTGTACAGTTTCGAAACATGCACCTTGGGCGTGTCTTGAGAGTTTTAAGACCGCCGTAGGTCGTCAGTGTTCGCTGCTGGTCCTCTTCGTCGTAGCTCAGATATGTCCAACTTGTGTAAGTACTGCATTATGACCCTCAGAGTCCCAGATTGTCGTCTAATCCACGAGTAGCAAGCAGTCAAGTACCAGTGAGGCGCTTTGACATGCGGCGCGGTCATTATTCACTAAATAATTGGAAGGACATCGAGCCTGAAGAAGATAAAAGACATTTCCAATGCGAATTATGTCCAGCGCGGTTCGCCAGGAAACAAGACCGTGCTCGACATGTTCGGTCTGTTCATACTATGGAGACCCCGTACCGATGTGAAGGGTGCAAGGCAAGCTTCGTCCGTAGCGATGGCAGAGGGAGGCACTGGAAGATTGAGCCTGAATGCCATGAAGCTCATCTCCTGGCGCAGAACACGAGCCCGGATTGTTAGCATCGAGTGGCCTTGTTATGCTTGTACAGAAATCAGAGGTGAGATAGTCTCACAGGATATCACAAGCAATCAAGAATAATAACTTACTTTTCAACGTTGATGATAGCGGGTAAAACCATGAAAGATTCACTTGTGGGTCTGAGTAAAGGGCGGCGCGTTTTGAGGACGGACATTCTCTGGGCTTTTATAAGAACAAGATTGTTAACAAGTAATCACAAACATGTATTTTCTCTTTGAAATATGTTACCACGGACTGTACTTATACACAACTAGTACATATCACAAATTTGATACTCTATCCCTGATCTCTCCCGCGCGCCCGCATGGCGAGGCGCTCATTTGATATAATGGAGTTTTGTATACCTCAATAGTAGATATTTCTTTCGATGGAAGAGAGCGGAAGACCAGAAAATGGCCGTTACCACTCACTGTACCAAACTGGACCGGATCTTCCCTTCGACCGAGTCAGTGTCCTGAGTCGCCCTTCTCACAAATCTCGCATACTGCACTATTTCATATTATTGCCTCCTTTATAGTGCAATATCCTGGGTTTTAGCGCCAAAAGCTAGCAGCATATGGGCGTGCTTCGATTTCACCACCGGGTGACCGTCTTTCGTTCTGACCATACGGATGCTCGGTACCATGATAGGGAGAACACTAGGCACATCAAAGTTTCAGCAAGAAGAGAAGAGTCTTAACCAAGAGACAATGCATCTTTGTACAAACCTTTGAACCCTTCGAACCTGTTCAAGTAATACTCCCCGGTCATCGGATGTTGTTGCCTCAAAGGTCCGCACGTATGGCGCATGTGCTCTTCTTCTGTCTTACGAAAATCTGTGTATCCTATTAGGTTTGACAGCATGGACCAGCATGGGTCTCTCACAGGCCAAGGCAAGGCATATAAAAGCACAAATCGTGAGGCTCGGTTGGGCTGTCAACGTTCAGCGACCCAAACGCGTTCTTTACAAGGAGTCTACGATTCTTGGAGGTCTATTATCTTTCAAGACGAGACATGATGCTAGCTACAGTGCTCACATTCCTTACTATTTCCACTCTTTCACTCTCC